TTTTTTTTTTTTTTTTTTAAGTAAGACTTTGTTATCAGTCTCCCTCTCCACAATGTAAACTCAATTAAAGCAAGGATTTGGGCTTGTTCACCACTGTATCTCCAAGGCTTAGCACACTGTACTGAATGGTGAGGAGTTAGAAGAGCAGATGTGTAGCATTCACAGCAAGTGTATTTCAATTCTGTGGCCTTGAAATTCAGGTTTCATTCTGAATTCTCAGTGGAAATCTACTTTTGAACATCTTCAATTCAACCCACAAAAATTTGATGACACACAACCGAAGCAACAACCATTTTCTCCAAGAAGCTTCTAGATGCCTCTTGTGGAGGCTTTTTACAAAGCCAGGGAGTGACATCCCTCAAGGCCTGCAGGTGGAGTAAGGTAAATAATTCAATTCAATGGGAATAAGCACAGAGTCACAGAGAGTTCAGATGCCACCAGCCACACACAATTCTTCATTTTCAGAACTCTGAAATTTTTATAACAGCTTTTACCATCTTAAACAATAAATACACAGGAAACACTCAAAAACAACAGCAAAAATAAAAACCAAAGAGGTGATGCAACAGACATATGCACACTATGTTCACTGCAGTATTATTCACAATAGCAAAAAAAAAAAGCACAACCTAAGTGCTCTTCAACAGATGAATGGATAAGTCACCAAATGCAGTACATACACACAATGGAATACTATGCAATCATAAAGAAAAATGATGAATCCACGAAAAATATTAAAACACTGATGGATCTGGAGGACATAAGGCTGACTGAAATAAGTAAATCACATAAGAACAAAATTGTATGATCATACTTTTATAAAAATTTGAGTTATATGCATAACAGAACTCAAATTCTGAAAAATTCCAGACTGACTGGACCAGTTGAAACTAGAAGACGTGCTTGGACTATTACCCTGAGATAGTCTTCAAACCTATCAAAACTAAAAAAAACTATTCCCTGAGGTCACCTTTCATCAAAATAACAGATTGACAAACAAAATAAAGGATATTACCCATGGGTACATTAATCCATTAAAAAGTCATGTATATGAGATCAAGGTAAAAAATTACTCTAAAGCAAAAATGAGAAGTTAAAGGGGCAGAGAAACTAGAGTACTGGAAATGGAACAATCAGAATGAAATTAAAGAGAATGCTGAAATATTGTGAAAAATGCAACAAATGTTGCTAAACACTGTGTGGAAATTGTCAAATGGGAACCTGATTTGCTTTGTAAACTTTCACCAACACAGTAAAATACTATTAAAATAAATAAATAATATGAAACTGTGTAAACCCCCCAAAAAACCAGAGACACACATAAACCAAAACAAATAATATTTAAAAAGAGATATAAATATTAAAACAAGATTGTTTGAAAAACAACAGTACCTCTTATCAGCAATAAGAGGTAACTAACTCACTATTGATATACTTAGATGGATTTCAGGGACACCATGTGGAGTGAAAGCCAATCACAGAAGGGCACTATGGTGCAGGGAATCACTTGGCTCTTCTAGCCATGATCTTTGTGACTCCCACCAGAACTATGCAAATGTAAGGTGCTTGTAGCCCTCCAAGGAGATTAGATAACTTGCTAACAATGTAAATAAGGTACATAGCCCCCTTGAGGGAGTGAGACTGTTCATGGAACCCTAATGTGGGGATTGGTGGGTTTTGTCATTCCACTAGGCTTAAAACGAGCCTTCCCAGAGGCAGAAGGGAGGATCCTACTACTATCAAGACAGAGAACAGCCTGTAATGGAGTGTGTCCTTGGACCCAAGCTCCCTGCTCTGAGGTGACAGCAGAAAGACAGCAGCAGCAGAAGCAGCAGAACCAAGACACTGGCACGAGGCACAGCAGTGGGCTTGCCAGTCCATGGAGTAAGAAAGCTGACTGCCTTTGGGCAGGAGTGTTGCAGGTGGGATGGGGTGCACTGAGGTGCATCTATATTGCAGCAGAGCTAATGAAGCTTTGTAATACTTGTCTTAGCAAGCCAGAGACCAGGTGAAGAGGCCAAGAGCCAAAGAGAGGTGTGCCTTCCGACATAGCAAAAGGGAAGATGTCTTGATAGAAGAATTGTCCTGAGCATTCCTGCACCTGAATTGTAACCTGTTGCTTCCCTAATAAAATCCATAATTGTGAGTTTTGTCTGTGAGTTCTGTGCAGCCACTGCGACGAATTATGGAGCCCAGCAGAGAAGTAGAGAGTGCTGAGGGAAGGACAGTTTGTGTCAGAATTGGTAAAAAGGCTGGAGGGTGGTGGCATGTCTGTCCTCCATTTCACAGGGATCAGCCTTGGGCTGACCCTGACGATGGTGATTCTCTCTCCCCTTTGTGAAGTTAGAGGTCTGAGGATGCCACCCTCATGCACTTGGTACAGGCACATATTGTATGATTCAATTTGTATGACACTCATGAAATGATAAAATTATAAAGATGGGAAACAGATTAGTGGCTGCCAAGGCCTAGGGTCTAGGGGTGGGGGTTTGATCTGATCATAGAGGGGTAGTATATGGGAGCCCCTTCTTATGAAAGTTCTGTATCTGATTTCAGTGGTGGTTATACAAATCTATACATATGATTAAATGGCACACAACTATATTTTACTAATTTCAATTTCCTGGTTTTGGTATTACACTACAATTCAGTAAGACATAAGCATAGGGGAAACTGGGTATGGTGTAGTGCCTAAGGATCTGATTGCTAAGCAGAAGGCTGGTAGTTCAAGGAAGACTGGGCAATCTACTTCTGTAGAGATTCCACCTTGGAAACCCAAGGAGGGGTCACTATGAGTCAAAACCAAGTCAAGGGCAGTGAATTTTTTTTTTTTTTTTTGGTTTGGTTATGGCGAATATATAATCGTTTCCAAATAAAAATGATATAAAAAAGTAAAAAGATTGCCAATACAGTATTAAGAACCTTTCCATAACTCATTACATTCAAAGCCATATTCAGTCTCTCAAAGTTAACCAGTTTATAAACAACAAACTATATTTCCTTTGAACACTATCTGCCAGTTCTGATTTATTCTTTTGCTTTTCTCAGGGTAATATCTTCTATAAAAAGTAGCATTTTTGACAACTTTCAAAACTCAATGATAAAGACTTCTGTTTATATTAACATTTTAATTCAGGTGCATAGAGAACTGTAACAAGATGAGAAGCTTAGTTCTGCTGGTTAAACCTACTCTTGTAGAGGTATTTGTGGCAGATCAAAATGGAATTCTTCTCAAACTCCACTAATTCAGAATGCAATTGGAACTTGAAAGAGGATATTCAACTGAAATTTTATTTTTCTGCCTTGAATTCAAAATCAACTACTAGCAGTTCTGGATCTCCAGAATCCTAACAACTTCGTAGAAAGTAATGAAAGCCTTTCTACCACAAAAACAGGCCTGTGCATATGTATGTTTATGTGGGCAGGGACTACAATGGAAGCAATTAACTTTGATTCAATGCACACATATTAAGATCCAGATGTATTCAAAGGCACTGATGGAATGCTACTAGGATACAAAAATTGATAAAACAGTATTCTTAACCTCAAAGATTTCATAATCTAGTTAGAGAGAAAATAAAATATAAGAAACCAACAGAATACAAAGTAGAAAATTTAATAAATGCTACAATAGAGGGGAGTTCTGGTAGCATAGTGGCTAAGACATTTGCCTGCTAACCAGACGGCTGGCGGTATAAACCCACCAGCCACTCCTCAGAAGGAAGGTTGGGCAATCCTACTTCCGTAGTGAAACTGCCTCGGAAACCCAAGGAGGGGTCTCTATGAGTCGGGTTTGACTCGACGGCACATAACAACAACAACAACAAAATAGAGTTTTAATGTTTTCTCAAAACACAGATAGGTCAAGATTAATTTCACTTTGAGAGACTGAAGAAGGCTTCCTGGGCAGGATTTCAAGAGGCCAACTCTAGACTAGGAAAGTAGATAAAAATATTCTAATAGACAGTATAGGCAAAAGCTGAGAGGTAGGCAAATCTAGGTAGGTCTGAACAACTCTAGGAAGTTCATTTTGAATAGAACAGATGGCTTGTGAGAGGAAACAATAAAAGCAGGTGGTTGGGGGCAGCAAAGCCACTAAGGCTGTCATGAATCATATTGATATTATTATATAATAGTAGTTACAAAAACCAATACTGTAGACAGACTGGGTAAAGTGAGGTGACCAAATAAGTCTGTAACTTTCCTAGTGTCCTCTTGTGCTTTGTTTGATGTAGCTTTCCTTAAAGCAAATTAAGTTGTATCTTAAAGTAAGTTGCAAAGATTTGTCTTCTAAATGTATTTCAAGAAAAGATTTCAAAAGTTTGTACAAATATCCATCTAAAGCAGACCAAAGTATTTCCTTCATTAGTGAGAGTCATGATTCAAATTGTTCTATGTTTTGCTGCAACATTTCGGTTTCAACAAGAACTCATGATCTTGATTCCACCTTGCTTTCATTCTATAAATACCACTTGCCTTGAACATTAAGGGGATTCTGTTCATCATCTATGCTCACATTTTTCACCTGAATAAACACTTATTTTATTCAGTCTGGCCTCTATAGCCCAACAAATTGGCCCCATTACAGATGGTGTAGACACTGAAAACAATATCACTTTTAAAAGGTTATGAAAGAATACATATGATTTTGGACAAATGGAGATATGTGTCAATCTAATTCTTATCACATTTCTAAATTTTATGATATAAGCATTAAAAACAAGTATTCCTAACTAGCAGAAGAAGAACTATAGGGAGCTCCAGAAGCCTTACTGGCAGCTTCTCAAACTGGTTGCCACAAACTTTCAGTTGGGATAATTCCTGGTGGAGTAGTAACCAAACCAGAGTAGAGCCTACCTACCACACAGTCCACACACAGACTTCACTGTCAGCATCTCCCCTACACACTTTTTATCAAGTAATCCCAAGCTTTCTAGTAAGTTAAATATAATTTTTCTATATAAACAGACTGGTATATAAGTCTGGATAAGAATAACATGGAAGAAAGTGGTATAGTGGAAAGGGTTTTAGAGTGTGACAAATCTAGGTTTTAATCTGAATGTGTTAATTTCTTGAAGCATGCCATTGGTTTATAACCTCTCTGAATCTCAATTTTCTCTTTGCTACCAGAACTCCCCTCTATTTTAGCATTTAGAGTGATATCTACCTCTCAAAGTTTTTGTAAGTGTTAATTGTGGTACCCTTCACTAGTGCCCGGCTCTAATAGTTCTTGAACAATGAGAGTTTTTCATTAATTGAGGAAAATATTACTGCAAGGAAAGGGTCGAAATATATTGAAAGTAAACTTCCATTACAGTTAGGAAATGTTGACAAGCAAGTCTTCAAGCTGAAACTGTTCGAAGACTGCATTTTCAACTAAACACTATTTAGAAATAAATAAATTCACTTTGAGTTGAATAGTGGAAAACTATGAAATACAAGCCTCTTTCATTTACAGATGCTTATCACAGTCCAAATAAGCATGAAGTAAGAAACATCAGGAGCTCTGGTAGCATAGTGGCTAAGGCACTTGACTGCTAACCAGAAGGCTGGTGGTTCAAAGCGACCAGCCACTCCTCGGGAGGAAGATGGGGCACTCTACTTCCATAGTGATACTGCCTCGGAAACCCAAGGAGGGGTCGCTATGAGTCGGGTCTGACTCGATGGCATATAACAACAACAACAAAGAAACATCAGAGGAAAAACATATCAACAAATGTTGTTAAATTCAGGCATGTCCTAAAATTTGAATACTATGATACAGCTTTGTAAGATCCTGGTTGAGGTTCTTGTCTTCATTTCAAGTTTTCCTTGTGATAAATCTTCTGGGAATTTACTTCATCATTCTATTTTAACTATAAAACAAAGATACTGCAAAATACTCTGTTATCTACTAAAGAGTACAACTTCCAGAGGAGCCATTTCCTTCCTATTTATTACAGGTATGTATGGTATCCTGATAATTTTCCAGTAGATGGTTGTAACCTTCTTGAAGAAGATGCTGGTATACATAGTAGTGATGGAATTGGCATAGGTTTGGGAAAATACATGTAAAGTTCTAACAAAGATTTAACTTCTCAGAAATGATCCTGTTACCATAAAAAGTTCTAGGGTGTTGTAACCTCTATGATGAGTTTGGAAACCTCAGCAACCATCCTGACTCCAGCACTAATTCCCTTTGACAACTTGGCCAGGTTCACATCTTGGAGTCTCAATTCCCTTGAGTGTGAAATAAGGACATAGAACGTGTATAACATTTTGAGATACTTTTCCAATAGAACTGAAGACCATTATGAGCTCTTATTTTTCAGGCAACCTTGAGGAACTAGTACACATTATAATTTAAAGACCATAAAGAAAAAAAAAATTTTGCAGAGAGAGATTGATGAAAAAAATTTGTAATAAAACACACTACAATACTAATAGTAGCCATCTTCAAAAAGTCATAAACTAAAAAAACTATTGACAAACAAACAAACGAAAAGCCCTAACCCACTGCCATCAAGTCAATTCTGACTTAGAGCAACTCTGCAGGATAGAGTAGAACTACCCTACAGGGTTTCTAAGGCTGTAAATCTTTGTGGATGCAGACTGCCTCATTTTCTCCTGTGGTGCAGCTGATGGGTTCAAACTGCCAACCTTTGGTTAGCAGCCAAATGCTTTAAACACTATACTATGAGAGCAGCAATGAAAAGTAATAAATTTTTAAAAAAACTATGGATAGCATATTAAAAAACAATCCATAGGGATACTAAATTGTCTGAATAAATTTATAACCTAAATCTACAAATGATTTCTGATGTAGTCCAGTAACTCAAAGATTCAGTAAATCTAACTCTTAAAGACTCAGAATGTCATGTTTCTTGTTAAAACATATAGTCCTATTCCAAGTGTTTCACATGCTTTATGCTATTGGTAGCGTAGTGCCTAAGGCACTTGACGGCTAACCAGGAGGCTGGCGCTTCAAACCCACCAGCCACTCCTCAGAAGGAAGGTTAGGTAATCTACTTTTGTAGTGATACTGACTCAGAAATCCAAGGAGTGGTCACTATAGTTGGGTGCAACTCAGGGCACATAACAACAACAACATTGAAACATTTGCATTTTAAAGTTCAAAAAGTTGTTACTTTATGACACTTGATATGTTACAAATTAATCTAAGTCCTGGTAAGTGAATGCAAATTGGATTTCTTTCTGAACCTAACATTTGGAAATATACATTATTTCTTCTTTGGAACACAGGATCATTTAGAATATAAATGACTATACTGAAAGGAAGCTTACCTGGTTGAAACACATTTTCAGCTTTTTGTTTGTATGTTCTGGGCAGTGCTCCAGCTGTTTTTGTAAATGATAATTGAATAGGATATTAACTTTTAGAGAATGAGCTGTCTATAACAGAGTTATAACATTCAAGCATCTAGTATCAAAAAGCATCAACAGCCTAGAGAAGCAGTTAACAATGATAAAGTAGACCTTTAAGCCTGGTTCTAATTAAATTAATTAACTAAACAATACATCTTTCATTCCAAAAAGAATTAAAGTGGCTTAACTAAATGCAACATTGCTAATAAAATTCTATAACTGAGAAAAAACAAAAAACTCAAGGTAAAGAAAAATTAAATGGCAAAATATTAAACATTCAAGGGGGGATGTTAAGAAGACAGTTGGGGTTTGGGTTTCTGGGGAAGACAATACCGGAGATACAGACTGGGAATCACTGGCATGGGGTAGTGTTTCAAGCCACAGACTATAGGAGTCACCTAAAAACAGAATTTAATATAGAGAAAAAAATGGTCCAGGAATAAGTCCTCAAAGCAGGCAACAGTTAGAAGCCAAATGGAAAAGGAGTTCCTAGCAAAGCAGATAAGGAAGGAAAAGACAGGGAGGGAAACAAAACAATGAGAGGAGTATGGTATCAGGAAGTCATACAAAGAAAGTGATTCAAGAAGGGGAAAGTGGTCAACTGGCTGAAGGTTTCTGAGAGGTCAGGAAGATAAGAAGTGACTTCTGAGTTTGTCAATATTAGGGTCACTAGTGATCCTGACAAGAGCAGTCCCAGTTAACTGGTAACAATGATTATGGATCAGAAAGTGAAGGATTTTGCCCAGAATCAGACTGAGGCACATGGTACTTCTGATTAAGAATTTGTTAACTGATTCTTTTCTTTGTTTATCCATCATTACCACAGACAGCAATCAGCATGGTGGCAGTGAAGGAGCTCATCTGTCACAGCACTGGGCTCTTCTCCACTTCTGTGAGCAGTGATACTTGGCCACAGGCCTGCACCCTTGCTCAGTGGTGCTCTGGACAGCTTACGTGGCTGTTTCACCCACCCCTCACCTCAGCTCTCATAAAAGATGGCTGGGGAAGTGTATCTAAGGAACAAAAAGTCTATTTTTGGTAGTGGGAGATAAATCAGGTACTATGTTCTATTTCCTTTGATCTTTGCAACTGAATTTTATCAGTCCATAAGATCTTCTCCAACCGTATTAAACCCTTGGTCACAATGGTATCAAATGCAGTTTCAATTCCAAGTTATCCAATTAGTATAAAGATCCTCTTCATTCACTTGAGCTATCCCAGGTCCCCTTAATGGTACACTTTACATTTTTGCTTCTCTGAAGACTAAATTCATGCTATTCTATCATTCCCTCAGAATCCAAAAAGAATCAGCTTACCTCAGAATTTGCTCCAGGTTCCTCCACATAGGTGTAGTCAAATTCTAATGGTAGCTGAAACTCAGGAAAAAAATACAGAAGAATCTCCCTAGGAATATAACCACAGCAGAACTGAGAACATACCAGAACAACAGACATAGCATTCACCTGTTAAAACTAGCACCAACCCCTAGGTATTAAACATCTTGACACAGATAAAAAATTGTGTCCCTTAAATATTTTGTTGTTACCATTGGCATTGAAGTATTCTTCACAAAGCAGAGACTGGGGGAGAAGGTGGATGTAGCTACAAAAGGGTAACAGGAAGAACCCATGTGGTGACAGAACTATTCTGTACCTTGACTGTATCAGTGTAAAGATCCTGATTGTGATACTCTTTCCTAGTTCTGCAAAGATGTTTTGGAAGAATCTGAGTAAAGGACACATGGGATATCTCTATTATTTCTTACAACTTGGTGTGAATCTACAATAATGCCAAAATTTAAAATTTAAAAGAAGTAGGTATACTACAAAGGATGGACTCCAAATGCCCAGCAATCCATAACTGTACAGTCCAGTCAAGCCTGGTAACTACAAGCCCATTCTCTTTTGCAGAACCTTTGGCAGAGAACTCACCCAGTGCAAAATTTCTGGGGTAACATTCAGGCTATTTATGGGCATACTGATTTTTTTTCCAAAAGAAAATCAAAGAGTTTAACCCTCCAGAGTAATTCCTTTTGTCATGATACCCTGATTACATATATATAGATAGATATATAGATATATAGATATAAAATCAACTCACTGCCATCAAGTTAATTCTGACACATAGGGACCCAGACTTGTCCAAGTTTGTAAATCTTTATGGAAGCAGACTGTCTCATTCTTGTTCCACAGAGGAGCTGGTGGGTTTGAACTACCAACATTGTGGTTAGCAACCAAATACCTTAACCACTTCACCACCAGAGCTCCTTCATATATATCTGTATCTATGTCCATATCTATATCTGGGAGTCCTGGTGTCATCATGCCTAAGGCATTTGACTGCTAACCAGAAGGCTGGCAGTTCAAACTCACCAGCCACTCCTTAGAAGGAAGGTTGGGCAATCAACTTCTGCAGTGATACTGCCTCAGAAACCCAAGAAGAGGTCACTATGAGTTGGATCCGACTCAACAGCAGTGAGTTTGGTTTGGTTTTATATCTATCCCACACAGCATGAACATATACCCTCAGAACCATTGCTTGACTGGTAAAAACGATGAGTAGAATTGTGGGGCAAAGTGCAAAGGGGTTTCTGAGTACATGAGAGGAGTAAAATTGCATGGCATAGAAAGAAAAACTGCAACTGGAGTCCTTGCAGAAGGAGACCTGAAGTTAACCTTATGGCTGGCTGCATGGGGCAGAAGGGATAAGTGGTTTTTCACATGAACTGTTCCTCCTTCTTCACTAAACAAACTTGCTTTCCCTCTCCACAGGGTTCCAATATCTTCTGGGTTTGTCCTTTTAATGGTGGATACATATTCACTTGTGTTTAGATATGGAGGAAAACAGAAATTGCCCAATAATCTATTCTGAAATAAGCAAATATTAATTGAGGGTGTCATTTGGTAGGGGGTGGGAGAGGGTGAAGGGGCAAATTAGGGAGGATAAAGTTGTGGCTTAGTTCTGGATTTTCTTCATCTGTGGAGTTTCTAGTTCAAAGTTAATACTACAAAAACAAAACAAAACAAAACTCACTGCAATTGAGTAGATTTCGACTCATAGCAACCCCTCTTTGGGTTTCTGAGGTAGTAGCTCTATGGAAGTAGATTGCCCAGTCTTCCTTCTGAGGAGTGGCTGGTGGGTTTGAACCTCCAGCCTTCTGGTTAGTAGTCAAATGCCTTAGGCACTATGCCACCAGAGCACTAAACATCATCTATAATGTCTCACAAATAGATTATTATTTCTAAAATAGATAGACATGAATACTATTTTAAAATTAAATGCAAAGTAGTGTCAAAACATCACTAAGATCACTGTAGCCTTTTGCCATTTTGTAATTTCTGCACATACTCAATCTCTTTAATTCCACAGATATTCCCTGAAACTTTAATAAAGTATAGCCTTTGCCCTCTGGCACCTTACAGATATTCCCATGGAGCCTCCATGCCAGGAACTCAATACATTCTAACTGCCCTGACTTCAGTCTATTGGGAGATACAGATAAGGAAGCAGGTTATTACAATATAGAATGATAAATACTAGGAGGAGAATGAGGATGAAGCACCATGCAGGCCCAGAGGAAGATCCCTAACCTATATTTTGGAAGGCCTAAAGAAAGTGTAGGCGTTAGCTAGGTGGGAGGGACATTGAGAAATGCTAAGGAAGTGTTCCAAGCCAACTGCACTACACTTCAAGGAATTTAGTATTTTCCTATGGCAGTGAGCACTGTAGGTCAGATCTAATTGTCCTTTATAAAGTGCTGGAAATGTGCCAATAACTGCTATATGCTTTATATACATAATTTCATGTAATCCTTAAGGAAACTCTTTGATTGAGGAATGTTCTGTTTAAAACCTCTCTGGTTTCCTGATTATTAAGGACTCCCTGCACAAGCTACATCCTTTCTTCTCATCCACCCTCTCTCCACAGTCAGGCCTATGTAGGTTCCCTGTAGTCTCCTCCCTCTAGGATCCCTGTATTCTGCCTTCTACTTTCTCCTTAGAATCATTACTAAACAGTTTCTCCCTCAAGAATTCTGTGCCACATACTGTACAGCATTGTCAGTGATGGCAAACATGGGTATACAGGTGGACAGATGGGTGGACAGGCTGAACTATTAGGTATGGCAATGCAGCAGGGAGTGTATCCAAGACCATGTATAGAATTGGCAGACAATGGTCTTGTAAGAACTACCCTACAGGGTTTCTAAGGCTGTAAATCTTTGTGGATGCAGACTGCCTCATTTTCTCCTGTGGTGCAGCTGATGGGTTCGAACTGCCAACCTTTGGTTAGCAGTTAGTATGATCTGAATTCCCATGTGTATAGTAGAGCCGACAAGGGAAAAGGTTGTAGTCACTTCTTGGTCATAGCCAGCTACCCAGAGGGACTAAGCAGTTGAACTGGTGGGCTCAGGACCATAGTCGCAGAGGACATCAAGTTCAATTGGCATAACATACTACTCAAAACATTGTTCCACCTCCTACTTTGGTGAGTAGGAGCAGGGATCCTAACAGCTTGCAAGCAGCCATCTAGATGCAACAATGTGTTTCTCCTCCTTCAGAGCAAAGAAGAATGAAGAAAACCAAAGATTCATGGAAACAATTAGTCCTCGTGACCGGTACACCATGCGATCCACAGCCTATATGACTATGAGACCAGAAGAACTAGATGGTGCCTGGCTACCACTGTCAACCACTTGGAGAGGGATCTCTGTAGGAGATCCTGGATAGAGAGGG